ATCAGCATAGGTATGCGACGTTTGCATTTATTTGAGGGATTGTCCCCTTACGTTATAAGTTTTCTTAGTTGTTGTGATCATAATTGCTATTATCTTTGCGTGCTCACTGTCACTGCTTGGTTCTAATTTGAAAATACGTATTACTTTTTTCTTCAGGCTACCAATACGATCATAAAGAACACACCTCGACAACCTTTTTAAGTTTTCCGGATCAGAGTGACGGATTTATCCAGAAGCTGAACTGAACAGTGTGTTTATTCATTGATTGTGTTGAGATTCTTGGTGGTGTGTTGTTTCAATCAAGGCGCCGAATTGCCGTTTTCGCAAACGGCGCCATTTATAAGCGGTCAAGGAAGGGAACGAAGGCTACTCTGCTGTTGGGCATGCGCAGATTATATGCGTCATATATCATCGTATTCTGCAGTGATAAGAATCGATCAACAACGTTCAGCAATCATCAATATAATAACAAATTCGACGGCGACTTTCATTGCTGAAAATGAGTTTTAGTAGTGACGAGATTAATTATGTCATTTACCGCTACCTCCACGAATCGGGTTCGTTCCATTGGATTATTTACTACTGAAACATTCATTGCAGTTGAGGAGAATGAGAATGATTTGAGGGCTTCTCTGATTCGATTACTGAATTCATAGTTTTGCGTTATCAGTGAAATTTCTTTCATAGGTTTTGAACACATTCATTTACATTGATTGCTTTATTGGAAGTTGAACTTATTCGGAAAAGAGTGCGTTTTTTTCTTGACGCTCACTGTAAACGGGAATTTTTGATTGAACATCAAATCTGCTGCAAAGAATCATTATTTGCGAATGAATTCAAGTAAAGTGTAGTATTCACCGATTGTGTTTCATTCTTCTATTTTCACGAAATTTTCCAAGAACAACTGCAAAAAACTTCATCTATCTATTCCACCCCTTCCATCTTTCTCATTACTCATGATCAAGTGAATCTTCTCCTTCACATCTACTCTTCGAAACTCTTTATGATTAATTATATCGCTCTCACACACACTCTCTCCTATTTCATTTGTTTGTTCGAAAAAATATGAAATTTTTATATTCACTGCCTAACGCCCACCACTTGTAGCGCACTGCTGATAAACGGCCGCACACAATGATCTAATAATATCCATCAAAAGAGTAATTTTACGGTATTTTTCTGCTAGAATTTTCAATTTTTCGTCTGCATAATTTAAGAAGATGGTTTCCATTCCGCTCATGTAACCATCAAAACATGAATTTAAATGACGAATTCTCTGGAAAATGAGTGCAAATATTCTGTGACAATGGGGAGACACGATAGGACATGACAGAACAAGATTGCTGATTATGAATTGGATTCGTGTTCATTTGCAAGGAAGTGTATGTGAAATGAGTGTGTGTGTGTGTTGTTAATGGAGATAACCAATGCAAAGCAATCTGGACTCGTACGAATGAAGCTGTGCACGTAAATGAGCCTGAACGAAAGCGCAGGCGTAAGTACAATTTTAAGCGTAAATACAAGAGTAACGCGAGCTTAATTGCAGTGCACGAAGCCAAAATAGACAGACAATCGTTCGAAGTAATGAATAACGGAACGAACGAAAAAGTGATTGATTTTTATGACGTTATTAGGTAGTGAATAATGAACTATTGATGTTGTCAAATGCCACTCTGGCAAACGATGTTTTTCTCTGGTAGTTATCTTCACATTCCATTTTTAGTGTCCATGTTTTATTCATCTGACGAATAGTATATGAACGAAATTTCCTTCATTCACATAAGGACATCAAAAAAATTCTCCCTATTCTATTTTCTCTGCAGTTTCTCTCTTCTTTTCTTACTTTTACATTCTCAATTTCAGCTGTAATATTTGCTTGCCGAAAAATTCGTCATCAATTTCCAAACTGCGTCCATACAATCATAGGAATGTTTTCGCGAGTATTGTTGCATCAGCGTAAATAATTTTAACTCATTGAAAATTTAGATGTAATGTTGAAAATTATGTGCTCTTTGATCACAATTATGTCTGGTGTTGATAATAGGGGTGGGAGAGTTGTTAGATGTTTGCGAACGCTCAAACTGAACGATGATAACGGATGCGATGCCATTACTCTGCAAACCAAGTGATATCTCCTAAAAACGGCTATCTTTTGAGAATTTTCATCATAAGCTGATAATTGTCTATTGTCTATAGCAACTTTGCAACGCATCGAAAACAACTTATTGTTGGTTGGGTAACGGATTATGAATGTATGTCTATGTTTAAGAATGCCCGCCTCGATCGTGAATAGTCTATCAGAGTGAAATTTCGGAGACTTATTTCGTAATTTGGTTATCCGTGAAGGAGGTATTGATGCGACCAACTGCATTGAACACAAACGACATTCAGTATTCATCAAAGTTTGAAATTGAAGCAAATAAATCATTTCAATTACAATCCAGCATTACGACAAACGATCGCTTGATGTAGTATAGCACACAAGTGAATGTGTCCACATCACTCAAATAAAACCATTACTCAGTACCTATGTTGCAACTGAATAAATGCATCAATGCGCACACAAACAACGAGGGGCCGTATTACATCGCTATGAAAGAAATGTCACTTGTGATAGTTACATTAAGGGATCTGCCATTCACACATTCTATATTTACTTACTAGTTGAAATATTCATTTGTATTTGTATAAGTGTTGTTAAGTTTCATCTATCTATTATACTTGTTTTGAACAATCATGCATAATTTTATCAGCGTTGAAGACCTGAGAAGTGTTTTATCAGTTACTAAAATTCTACAGTCATTCATTAATGAATTCATACCATGCATCATCACTTTTCTTCTTGAGAAATTGAAAATTAAGGCAGTTCTCTCCATTCCTGTTATTTTCAGTGCCCACATTAACAAATATTGAGAGCATTTGAACTGATATTTGTTTGCCTATTTGAATTGATATTTGCCCTGAAGCAATGCCGAATTTGATATTTGCTCAAATGAGCAAATTTTGATATTTGCTCAAATGAGCAAATTCAATTCCTTATTGTCAGGAATTGATTCAATGGCACTGAAATTATCTTCTCGAACAGAC